CAGGGGAAAAGAATTTGACATACAGATAAGTGAGGCATATAGGACTCCAACTAGCTGTGATTAAAAAAAAAACTACACATAGGCATATAATAGTTAAGATTCCAGAAACCCAACAGAAGAACAAAATTCTATAAGCAGTTAGAAAAAAGAAACAAATCACATACAAAGGAAAGCCCATCAGAATCACAGCAGACTTCTCAACGCAAACCCTCAAGGTAAGAAGATTCGGAGTGACGTATTTCAAGCCCTAAAGGAAATAGCCTCCAATCCAGATAGATATACCCTGCAAAACTATCTTTCAAAATTGATGGAGAAGGGCTGGGGATTTAGCTCAGTGGTTTCACTGCCTGCTGCGCAAGCTCAAGGACCCAAGTTCAATCCCTGGTACCAAAAAAAAAAATTGATAGAGAAATAAGATACTTTAATGACAAAGAGCACCTTCATGAATAACAAACCAGCACTCCAAAACATTTTAGACAGTATCCTAGGAAAAGACAACAAGGATCACAACCCCAGGAAGCCCAGTAGAATGAATCCATTGGGCACAACAAGAAATTAAATGCAAAGGGGGAGAATCCAACAAAAAGGAAAAGTCATGACAATGATAGGTCAATATGTATCAGTTATAAGCATCAATGTTAATGGTTTCAATTCACCAATCAAAAGAAATAGACTGGCAGTATGGGTCAAGAAGCAAGATCCAACAATATGCTGCATACAAGAAACAGATTTAATTCACAAAGAAACTCACAGACTGAAAGTTAAATGGTGAAAAATAATACTCCATGCGACTGGAATCCCCCGAAAAGGAGGAGTACCTATCCTCTTTGTAGATAAAGTGGATTTCAAACCAACACTGATTAGGAGAGACAAAGAAGGACATTACATCCTTGCAAAGGGAATAATCCAAGAGGAAGAGATGACAATCATAAATATCTATGCACCAAACACTAGTGCACCCAAGTATATAAAACAAATACTAAGAAGACATGAAAAATAAAATAAGCACTAATACAACAGTAGTGGGGGACCTCAATACCCCATTGTCAAAAATAGATAGATCAACTAGACAAAAAATAAGCAACAAAATACTAGAACTCAAACTCTTGAACAAATGAAGTTAACAGATATTTACAGAGTGTTCCACCCCATAAAATCAGAATACACATTCTTTTCAGCTGTACATGGGTCATTCGCCAAAATAGAACACACACTCACTGATAGAACATTTTTAAGAAAGTGCAAAGGAATTGAAGTTATCCCCTGTATATTTTCAGACACAGTGTGATGAAACTGGAGATCAATAGCAAAAGAAACCACAAGAATTTCATAAACACATGGAAATTGAACAACACACTTCTGAATAACCAACAGGTCACAGAGGAAATTAAAGAAGAAATCAGACAGTTCCTACAATTAAATGACAATGACAATACAACATATTGGAATCTATGGA